GAGTATTAATCAATGGGAGGGCTGTCAAAAGAAATTATGGCTACGGCAATCATTAACTATGCAAAAAGCTAATCGTATTACATAATCATTGATATACAACTTAATAACCTAACCAAGCCGATTAAATTAACTTAACCAATATTAAAATTCATACTTATGTTAATTCATAATTGTTTGTCTTGACCGATTGATCCGCTGACTGACAGTGAGTTAGTAAGAGTTGGAGTGTTTTTAAATTCTATCACAAATTGTCTGCATAAATCTTCGATGTTATATTCAAGCTAATATTAGTATTTTAAGCAAATCCTTAAAAACGTGTTTAACACCATTTAAAAAACACACCTAAATCTGATTTCAGCAATGGGCTCCTTTTTAGCAAAAATTGAGACCCTTACAATTTTTGTTGAATTTTGAATGCTATTATGAAATTTTCTATTATTCGAACACCTCAAGTCCAAAGACCAAAAAAGAATAATATTTAGAAATCTGATTAGAATAGTATACTGAATATGATGATAAGTACATTTATACGATATATACGATACGATATATATATATATATTTGCAATACATTCTAATTTAAAATTACAATAACTTGTAAGAGAGAAGGGATTGATTGAGAATTTAAATTAAGATCGTCTAGTTCGTACAAATAAATAAAATATAAAAATTAAAAAAAAATTCTGAAGGAAATTGCGTCCTATATGTTATTTGAACAATAAACCAGGTGGGAGTCACCAACAATTGCGCCAATCGAAGACGATGAAGAAAAAGTTTATTTCTGAAAACTGTTACCAATCCTCCTCCTCCTAAACTGTAGTCGCGTTTTGAGGCCGGTTAACGGGCAACTGCCAACTGAAATTGGTTGACGGTTATTCGTCGAGTCGAAACTCATCGCGTTTTTGGTTTGGGTTATGGTTATGTCAATCATTATGTTGATGGTAACGGTTATGAGGCACTCGATTACCGTCAAGATGAGTTGCCATATTATGGCCATTCGCAGTAATGGAAATTCAAACGGCTTGCGGCCACGCCAACTATTGGTAGTCCTTAACCTCAAAAGACCGAAAATAGATGTAAATGCGTCTTATGGATTTTGCGCTGGTCACACGGCCATCTAATGGGTTTTATACGTGATAAAATCTTTTACACATTTCTGGTGGGATCTCCAGAGGCTGCTGTGTGCTCTGGGTTCGAGTTACGGCGACAGCTTTTGACATTGGTACTGTACCCTTTTTGGGCACAAGAAATGAGATGGAAGCCTGACACCGCGCAACATGGCTGTATGGCTGCATTAACATCAGGATATGGGAATTGCGAAAAATTGACAGGTTTTAAATTAATCGCACCCTTCAAGTTGTCGAATGGCTCACGATTAAATAAACGAGACGAAATGTCGGAAGCAGCAACGAATAAATACCTGTCTCTCTGTCTGTCTGTCCGTCTGTCTGTCTGTCTATTTGTGTCTGTCGTGCTGACACTGACGCTGACTCGTTGACTGACAGAAAACGCAAGCAACTGCCAGGCTTTGCAAATTCATTCCAGATGTAAACATTCCCATAGGAAGCCATTTCACACAAGTTTCATGTCTGTTTGTTCAAAATTGCAGCAACTGGTACTGACGTCCACATGTTTGTGTAGCCGAAGGTGTGTGTGTGTGTGTGTGTGTGTGCGTAAAGGTGTGGTATAGGTGGAGTTTGCTGTTCGCGTGCTACAGTTGCCCTCTACTGCCGTCAATGGCAGCAGCAAGAGCAGCCCAACTTTTGACTTTCTTGCTCAAACGAGCAAATATGCAAAATCACCAGGGGCACTTTGGCTAGCAGCACCGAGAGCTGTATACCTTTTCAAAAGTTGAAGATGGAAATTTGGAAACTTGAAAACCATACTTCGATTGCCAATATACGAGTGGCATATTTTTGTAGGAAACTAAAGCCCTTCATGCTGTTCACATAGGTATTCAATATAGTTTCTAGCTTGTGCTGTTATGCAGAAATCAAACGAATTTAAGTGATTGCAGATATTTATTTAATTTATATGTCACCTTTGCCAGTTGGGACAAAATTACACAGGGCAAAAATAAACGGGTCAAAAATATGTTTGAACTCTGTCTGGTACGCGCCCTCCGTACTCGAACCGTCACCTTAACTGATGGCCGTCCACGTTATTTTCATTGATTATGTCAGGAAAATAAGTTTACTTTGGAACATTATTGGTCCCATTCACAGCAACAAAAAGTCAACTTGTCAAAATGTTCGAAAGCACTTAAAACTTTTACGCACTTTAGTGTTGTTGTAGTTTGCTTGTTTGTTGTTGTTACATTATGACGTTTTTCCACTAAATCTACATCCACATCGACAATGGCGCAGAGGGAGCGACTCTACCCGCCACCACGCCGTAACAATACCCAGTCTCGTGAGGAGATCAGTCCTTGTGCCGCCGCTTGGTGTGCCAATTTCGCACTTTCCTTTTCGCAGAAGCCAGTCCAGCAAAAAATGGCATGGAATATTTTGTGTAAAAAATACTTCAAGCACTTCTCACATTGAAGCAAAGGGGGGCAGTTAGAAGCTCAAGCACTTCTGTCACAGCCAGTCGCAGGCTTGGCAACTCTACTGGCAGCTGGCCATGTCTATGGCCTGGCCTGGACTAGGACTCTAACAAGGCAATTGAATAGCACTTTCCAATAAGTACGTAGCCACAGCCAGTCCTCAAAACGAATAGGAAAACTTGCCACGGCCAAGCTGGCCACTCTTACATTACGATATTGGCTAAATTGTAACAACATTTGATTTTCGGTCTGTCAACTTTCGGCAAGCGCCCCAAAGTTGTGCACTGATAATCTTTGTTTACAATTTATCACAGACGTGGTCAGGACCTGAACCTTGGTCCTTGTCAATTAGAGAAAATGCAAATTTCAATAGATTTGTTTTGAATAAAACGGACAGTCAATTTGGCACATTACATACATATAAGGTTATTCAATAAGTATCCAAATTTGCTGGGTAATTAAATTAAGCAAATAGGAGGTCAGCTTGCTTTTGATGAAAACAATTTTCAATGATGTATGTAACTGGTTTGTCTATCCGCTGATATATGCATTAAGTTAATCATAGATTTATATTGCGTTGAAAACTGGCTTTATGGGCGACCCTTTTGTATTTTCCATAATTAAACAACATAGAACAAACCTGTCTGGAAACAAACAATGATTTATCATTTATCATAGCCTCCGTTCATGGTGTTGGGTATACGTATACGTATAAGTGAACCTCTGGCGGAGATTGGCTTTTAAATTGAATGAAATCAGAGTCAAGCGACTGCCAATGATGTGTGAGTGCACAAACCTATATATGCTCGTATTTTGCAATGATTTTAACGAATGGATCCTCGCTTACCCACAAATTCTTAGCTTTATGCCTAATGTTGGCATCGTCCCGGCCCAGTTCCTACCATGAAAGTCTGATAATTTATGCCAAACATTTTTTGATGCCGCGTCGCTCAAGCTCAAGCGAGCGTAACCCTTGTTTGAGGCTGAGTAATAAAATGAAATATTTATGGGTTAACATTAAGGGATTTGGTTTTTGCTGTAGCACAAATGCCTACGCTCGTGCATACCATATATTTGTATATACGTATGTATACAAGCATGTGGGGATATATCATGCGGCACGTAACACTTTGACCTGACTTGATCCCGGCCTTGTTGCGGGCGTACAGCGGTTAACATTGACCACACAGGCTAATTTATTGCATTCAAGGCGTTAACACGAAAGCATTTTGCGGAAATGGAAACTAAATAGTCGTGGTTAAATTATTAAATGCCCCATCTTGCTGCCTCAGCGGCAAATGCTGTGGCAATCGCTTTTCTTTACGATCCAAAGTGTTGCCTATAAAAATTTACTGCTATACACTCTGTATGTCCATGTTTGTTTGCATAAATGAATGCAAACATATAATTCCTGTGTAGCTCAGCAAGTGCTGCCCAATAAATATATACATAGTGCTCATATCATATATGCATGCATATAGACAGACCCCAACACGTTCGTGAATGGTAGTTGGTAAAACTGTTTGGCAATACTTTAAATATTTTACGAGTGCTACCACAGCCAAATTGAGAGAGAAGCATAGCGGTAGCGAGCCAGTGAGAATGGGCAAGAGATTATGATGTAACGATTTATGGATAGCTCATCGGGATGAGCACAAACGCAAACATTCGGCTGGCATAAAGTAGAAAACTACAATTTATGTACGAATTCCCAGCGTCAAAACTCATAAGTAAGTTTACGAATATGTATAGTGTGGGGTGGGGCTTTGTGTGCTGATCCAAATTGTATCAATCCTTTAGCCCAAAAGATAAGCCAAAAATATGTCTTAAGAAAATATATGGGTGACTTTAAGGCTCGAAAAATGTGAATTCTCTAATAGTATTCCAGTTATTTTTTGCCTTACGGAAATTTCATTGCACTATAATTCAATGACAGATAATTTTTGTAGCTTTAATAAATCAACTTACTACAGCTTTAATTTCAAGCTATTTTAAAAGGCTAGCAATATATATGTAACATATTTCCTTTGAAATATTTAGATTTCTTTTTGTGCTGAGTCAGCACAACTAACCCAATTATAAGAACGCTTGCTTGTCACTAGTGGATGCAAACAGGAAGGCCAAATATGATATAAAAATCAAGAAATCGAATGTGCAAAGATTCTATTAAGCGACATTTGCATGCTCTTAGTTATCGTTATAATATAAGTATGAAATCGTTTCAGATTGTCCGAGAGATGACTACTTGATGCTACCCACTGAACAGAGCCGCCATTCAGGGACAGATCAGAATTCGCATCATATTTGTCAGCCACTTGAGCGCGCCAGACACAAAGTGTCTAAAGCAAATCACACATTGATCATAAACTAACAAAAAACTAAACAAAATAATAACTAAACAAAAAAAAAACAGTCCGACTGCCCCTGGGTATAAAAGTGAGCGGCTACACGCGGCGGTCGGTTAGTAATAACGTGGACGCTGTCATCATCAACATGCTGAGAACAATTCCGATTTGGGCGCTGCTTATTTGTAGTGCGGTCACCGTGGCGGAAGCAAAGCCGTTCTTCGTAAAGGTTTTTGCGCCAATTAATGGTAAATTTATGCAGACCAGGAACAGCAGAGTGCAGGAGCAGCTAATAGAAATATATTTAACCATTCCATCATAGGTTACTCCAGTGGCACTGTCACATCCACTGCAACGGTGGCACCCGTCAACACTCAGTTGATCTCTAATCTTATATCGACGAAGATTCAACTACTTAATAGTTTTCTGCAAGCCAAATCATCCTTTGGCGGATTTGGCATCCAGAAGCAGATCACATTTACATCGGGCTCCACATCAACAACGGAGAAGGCAGTGACCCAGCAAACCACAGAGGTAAACACAGATTTTATTCCGGAAGTTAGCTCCAGCACTCAATCTGTGTACACAACAACAACAGACGGCGACATTGCGACGCCGAAGCCTACAGTACATCCCGTCAAGCCAATTACAACGTCAACGTCACTGATACCCACGCAGAGCACCACCGAGGGCACAGTGGAGTCTACAACGGGAAGTACCCCCGGATACACCTATCAGACACCCTCATCCACCACCCATGGATACGAGTACCAGACCCCCACACCCAGTACCAGCTCTAGCACCGTGAGCGCCTATTACTTGCCCGTCTCTCGATACTAAATATCTTAGTATATACTCGAGTGTACTCACTCGCAGCTGTGTAGGTATTTGTAGTATATAAGTTAAGCGCAGCTATCGAATGTTTATCTATTAACTGATACTCAACTCTAATCGTTTCATTGGCGATAATTAGAATACATCTTAAAATCTTTGAGAACAGTCTGATTTTTGCTTGGTGCGGAAGTGATTGGATACTAGTCCGCGCATTGCTCCTATTGACAATGGGTGGTTCTGTGCTACCAATTAGCATAAAAACCAGTTTTAGTGAGAAGACGAAACAGACATAAAAAAAATGAAGAAGCAGACGTTGAATCTTCGCTTTGAAAACTCACTCACACTTGCTGATTGATTTTTTGTTCAAAGTCATGAAATTGAAATTAAAGAACGATCAAAAGTATGAAATGTGAATAAATCTTAAGAGCCAGACGGGATGATTGAGGAAATATGTAGTTGATACATATATTTCCATGAAAGTGAATATTCTAGAGCATCCACGCGTTACTGGATTATATAAAATATGTTTTTGGCTTCAAGGTTAGAAACCGGCTTAACCACTCGAACTCAATTCCACAATCACTAAGCATATTTTTATCTGGGGGTTTTAACTGAACTTTGTGTTAATTTAATGCCGAGCATGGAAATGTTAATTCTTATTTAAGAAGTTATTTAAAACATTATTCAGAAGAAGCGTCTTAGTTAATGCTATTTTGAGAAAAACTGGTTTCAAGATATCTTCTTTTGTAAATTACACGCAGCAAATTGATTAAAATTTTATATGTAAGTCATTGAAACATTAACAATTCGGTAGCATATTATGAGTATGCCTAGGCTGGGTTAAAGGGTTAATAATAAATTCATATATACTTCTGGTATACGCATCTATAATTGTCTCGCCGTCCGTCCTCATTCTGGCCATGGACATAGCTCCGCGCGGTATGATGGATAATAGCTCCGTGGGGAGATATGACATTCCAAAACGACATAACTCCGCGCGGTATGATGGATAATAGCTCCGCGGGGAGATATGACGTTCCAAAACGACATAACTCCACGCGGTATGATGGATAATAGCTCCGCGGGGAGATATGACGTTCCAAAACGACATAACTCCACGCGGTATGATGGATAAAAGCTCCGCAGGAAGATATGACGTTCCAAAACGACATAACTCCGCGCGGTATGATGGGTAATAGCTTCGCGGGGAGATATGACGTTCCAAAACGACATAACTCCCTCCGCTCGGATGGAAATAGCTCCGCGGGGAGATATGACGTTCCAAAACGACAAACTCCCTCCGCTCGGATGGAAATAGCTCCACGGGGAGATATGACGTTCCAAAACGACATAACTCCGCGCAATATGACGGATAATAGCTCCGCGGGGAGATATGACGTTCCAAAACGACATAACTCCGCGCGGTATGATGGGTACTAGCTCCGCGGGGAGATATGACGTTCCAAAACGACGTAACTCCTCGCGGTATGATGGATAACAGCTCCGCGGGAAGATATGACGTTCCAAAACGACATAGCTCCGCGCGGTATGATGGGTAATAGCTCCGCGGGGAGATATGACGTTCCAAAACGACATAACTCCGCGCGGTATGATGGATAATAGCTCCGCGGGGAGATATGACGTTCCAAAACGACATAACTCCACGCGGTATGATGGGTACTAGCTCCGCGGGGAGATATGACGTTCCAAAACGACATAACTCCGCGCGGTATGATGGATAATAGCTCCGCGGGGAGATATGACGTTCCAAAACGGCATAGCTCCGCGCGGTATGATGGATAATAGCTCCGCGGGGAGATATGACGTTCCAAAACGACATAGCTCCGCGCGGTATGATGGGTAATAGTTCCGCGGGGAGATATGACGTTCCAAAACGACATAACTCCCTCCGCTCAAATGGAAATAGCTCCGCGGGGAGATAAGACGTTCCAAAACGACATAACTCCGCGCGGTATGATGGATAATAGCTTCGCGGGGAGATATGACGTTCCAAAACGACATAACTCCCTCCGCTCGGATGGAAATAGCTCCGCGGGGAGATATGACGTTCCAAAACGACATAGCTCCGCGCGGTATGATGGGTAATAGCTCCGCGGGGAGATATGACGTTCCAAAACGACATAACTCCGCGCGGTATGATGGATAATAGCTCCGCGGGGAGATATGACGTTCCAAAACGACATAACTCCGCGCGGTATGATGGATAATAGCTCCGCGGGGAGATATGACGTTCCAAAACGACATAACTCCGCGCGGTATGATGGATAATAGCTCCGCGGGGAGATATGACGTTCCAAAACGACATAACTCCACGCGGTATGATGGGTACTAGCTCCGCGGGGAGATATGACGTTCCAAAACGACATAGCTCCGCGCGGTATGATGGATAATAGCTCCTCGGGGAGATATGACGTTCCAAAACGACATAACTCTACGCGGTATGATGGGTAATAGCTCCGCGGGGAGATATGACGTTCCAAAACGACATAACTCCGCGCGGTATGATGGATAATAGCTCCGCGGGGAGATATGACGTTCCAAAACGACATAACTCCACGCGGTATAATGGATAATAGCTCCGCGGGAAGATATGACGTTCGAAAACGACATAGCTCCGCGCGGTATGATGGGTAATAGCTCCGCGGGGAGATATGACGTTCCAAAACGACATAACTCCGCGCGGTATGATGGATAATAGCTCCGCGGGGAGATATGACGTTCCAAAACGACATAACTCCGCGCGGTATGATGGATAATAGCTCCGCGGGGAGATATGACGTTCCAAAACGACATAACTCCACGCGGTATGATGGGTACTAGCTCCGCGGGGAGATATGACGTTCCAAAACGACATAGCTCCGCGCGGTATGATGGATAATAGCTCCTCGGGGAGATATGACGTTCCAAAACGACATAACTCCCTCCGGTCGGATGGAAATAGCTCCGCGGGGAGATATGACGTTCCAAAACGACATAGCTCCGCGCGGTATGATGGATAATAGCTCCGCGGGAAGATATGACGTTCCAAAACGACATAGCTCCGCGCGGTATGATGGGTAATAGCTCCGCGGGTAGATATGACGTTCCAAAACGACTTAACTCCGCGCGGTATGATGGATAATAGCTCCGCGGGGAGATATGACGTTCCAAAACGACATAACTCCACGCGGTATGATGGGTACTAGCTCCGCGGGGAGATATGACGTTCCAAAACGACAAAACTCCCTCCGGTCGGATGGAAATAGCTCCGCGGGGAGATATGACGTTCCAAAACGACATAGCTCCGCGCGGTATGATGGGTAATAGCTCCGCGGGGAGATATGACGTTCCAAAACGACATAACTCCGCGCGGTATGATGGATAATAGCACCGCGGGGAGATATGACGTTCCAAAACGACATAACTCCACGCGGTATGATGGGTACTAGCTCCGCGGGGAGATATGACGTTCCAAAACGACATAACTCCGCGCGGTATGATGAATAATAGCTCCGCGGGGAGATATGACGTTCCAAAACGACATAACTCCACGCGGTATGATGGATAATAGCTCCGCGGGAAGATATGACGTTCCAAAACGACATAGCTCCGCGCGGTATGATGGGTAATAGCTCCGCGGGGAGATATGACGTTCCAAAACGACATACCTCCGCGCGGTATGATGGATAATAGCTCCGCGGGGAGCTATGACGTTCCAAAACGACATAACTCCACGCTGTATGATGGGTACTAGCTCCGCGGGGAGATATGACGTTCCAAAACGACATAACTCCGCGCGGTATGATGGATAATAGCTCCGCGGGGAGATATGACGTTCGAAAACGGCATAGCTCCGCGCGGTATGATGGATAATAGCTGCGCGGGGAGAAATGACGTTCCAAAACGACATAGCTCCGCGCGGTATGATGGGTAATAGCTCCGCGGGGAGATATGACGTTCCAAAACGACATAACTCCCTCCGCTCGGATGGAAATAGCTCCGCGGGGAGATATGACGTTCCAAAACGACATAACTCTACGCGGTATGATGGGTAATAGCTCCGCGGGGAGATATGACGTTCCAAAACAAAATAACTCCCTCCGCTCGGATGGAAATAGCTCCGCGGGGAGATATGACGTTCCAAAACGACAAAACTACGCGCGGTATGATGGGTAATAGCTCCGCGGGGAGATATGACGTTCCAAAACGACAAACTCCCTCCGCTCGGATGGAAATAGCTCCACGGGGAGATATGACGTTCCAAAACGACATAACTCCGCGCGGTATGATGGGTAATAGCTCCGCGGGGAGATATGACGTTCCAAAACGACATAACTCCCTCCGCTCGGATGGATAATAGCTCCGCGGGAAGATATGACGTTCCAAAACGACATAGCTCCGCGCGGTATGATGGATAATAGCTCCGCGGGGAGATATGACGTTCCAAAACGACATAACTCCCTCCGTTTGGATGGAAATAGCTCCGCGGGGAGATATGACGTTCCAAAACGACATAACTCCGCGCGGTATGATGGGTAATAGCTCCGCGGGGAGATATGACGTTCCAAAACGACATAACTCCCTCCGCTCGGATGGATAATAGCTCCGCGGGAAGATATGACGTTCCAAAACGACATAGCTCCGCGCGGTATGATGGATAATAGCTCCGCGGGGAGGGAGATATGAAGTTCCAAAACGACATAACTCCGCGCAGTATGATGAATAATAGCTCCGCGGGGAGATATGACGTTCCAAAACGACATAACTCCACGCGGTATGATGGATAATAGCTCCGCGGGAAGATATGACGTTCCAAAACGACATAGCTCCGCGTAGTATGATGGGTAATAGCTCCGCGGGGAGATATGACGTTCCAAAACGACATAACTCCACGCGGTATGATGGATAATAGTTCCGCGGGGAGATATGACGTTCCAAAACGACATAACTCCACGCGGTATGATGGGTACTAGCTCCGCGGGGAGATATGACGTTCCAAAACGACATAACTCCGCGCGGTATGATGGATAATAGCTCCGCGGGGAGATATGACGTTCCAAAACGGCATAGCTCCGCGCGGTATGATGGATAATAGCTCCGCGGGGAGATATGACGTTCCAAAACGACATAGCTCCGCGCGGTATGATGGGTAATAGCTCCGCG